ATGCTCCTCTTCTTTTTATGCTCAGCTACTAAAATTTCCCTTTAGTGGTAAAATTCCATATAAATATTCAAAACTAAGCGGATTAAAATGTGCACAGTAAAGACATTAAATGATTAAATCTTTTCACTACCAACCAATGCACCACGAGTGTCCCTGTCGGTCATTTTGACCAGCCAATCACTTACCACGGTACCCTCTGGTGCCCTGCGGGTAGATTACTGTACCGTGGGTTTTTACCGCTCATTTTGAATGGCTGCATCTGTATGTTATAGATTCTCAATACATTATGAATAATACTCTTTATGCATTACGGCTTTTAAGGCATTTTTTTATCATGTATCACCACTGATATTAAATTATAATTATTTCAGAATTTGGGCATTATTTTCTGTTTCATCTTGTGATTTTAACTTTGTATTTTAAAAATCAATCTAGTTTCATGGAGATATCCAGGAACTAAAAACATACCTGTGTATTTGACATGACCTCTGAGACTTGTCCTGAAACAAATTCAGTGATAAGGTGAGTTCAATTCACCTGATTTGCTTCATATATATTATACCATATATATATATATAGGACTCTATCAACTACAATGACAGTCTTGAAATATTTAATGTTTATTCCGTGTGCAGACAAGAATGAGGCTTTATAAAAAAAAATATCATAATACCTTGGGATATACACAGTTCCAAATACAATTCTACAGTTAATAAAGAAAAGACAAAGAAGAATATTTCAACTTGCAATTTACATGCATTTAATTAACTTTAATTAATGTCTTACATGATATAAAAATGTTAGATATTGTTCCAAGATGTTGTGGTGGCACAGTCATTAGCTTTGCTGTGTCACAGTGCTGCAGCCCTGAGTTCAATTCTGGATCTGAGTTTTCACTGGGTGCTCCAGTTTACTTTGAAAACAATGTCTGTGTTTGTGTCTTTGTTCCATGCAATGGATTGATGTCCTGTAAAGAGTTTACCCCGTCTTGTGCCCATTGCCTGCTGAGATAGATTCCAGCTCCCCTGAATTGCATCAAGGGGTTAGGTAATAGATATTACAAATATAATTAAAGTGGACAAATCACAATAATCTAATTCAATTTATAGATTTACTATGGATGGCTTTAGCATGACACACATAAATAATTTAACCAAAACTTTACATTACTTTGTCTAGAAAATACTAACCTGTGCTGTGCTCAAACTTCCTTCTTTTCATTATGCAGATGAGGACAGTGATCACAATGAAACACATAGCATTTGACACCAGCAGGGCACATACAGAGGGAGGAAATGTAGATTGAGCAGTAGATTCTAATACAAAAATAATCAAACATAAAAATTAAGATAACATTGTCAAGTTTGATCAGTTAAACCTAAAACACTGTTAAATGAAACATCAGCTGCATATAGTGTTGTGAACTTTAATTAGTTCAGTGTTCAGTGTTTGATTTAAGAGCTTTATAAGTTTTGATTTTCTCAGCTTTATACCCTGAAGTATAAAATATTTATATTTTTTCATTATAGTTACAACATACTTTCAAAGAGATGAAACCATAAATGAAAATATGAAATTGTTTATACTTTAATTATTTCTGTTGACATTCCTGGCAGAAATATAACCAGGTATTCTTAATTTTACATTTTTAATTAAAATTCAAGCTCTCAAAATAGTCAAGAAGGACTGTCACAAAGTTCTGCACACAAGTAAAGACGTGATTATCAAAATAAATGAAGTTCAAGGGGCTTTATTCCTAACTCTTTCAGTACACATAAAAAATGCATTAAATGGTCAGCACCCACCAACCACACCTTTCACTGTGCTGACTTTTTAAATACCAAACAAAACCTTAAATACATTCAGGTAAATGTGAATTCTGAAGTCTTTTCTTGTTTACTCATAATAATACATGATGTACTGTGACTAATTACAAGAAATGGTGTCCCCTAGTGCCAGTTGTAGTTCCATCCCTTTCTTCTCCTATACTCAGCTAAACCTTTTATGGTTTAAATTCAATCTGGTTTCTTAATGTGGTTCTTTGTATTCCTTGATTTTGGCATAAAAGTAATTCAGGATTTCTGTGTATAGATCAATCACAATAAATATATTTTTGTATTAAATTTTAATGGAACAAAATGGGACATCAATGGAAAAGAGTGAAAGGCACTGTATATAATCTTCTACATATGTTATGTACATATAAAAATATTTAATATGTGATATATATTTCAGAGTTCTTTATGTCAAACAATTAGAGGCATTCAGACTTTGACATCCATTTAATTTGAGTTTTTATTTGATTTTTAACTTTTTAAAGTCAGTTTTTTATTGTTTATATTTTAAAGTCAGTTGTTTATTAATATATGTTAAACATAAAACTTACCTGAAATGTCCAACAGGGTCCCATTTCCAAACAGGATCTCCCCACAAGTGGCCACAGCACAGTAATAAGTTCCAGCATCAGAGGGGCTGATGTTCCTCTTGGGGAGGTTATAGACACAATTCTGTGTAGGAGCCCCAGTCACAGAGCTCCTCTCACAATGATCACTCCTGTTTTCATAAGTGTAAATTATTCCTGGAAGGGATTCTTCTGAGTCATGTCTGAACCAATAAACACTGTGATCTCCTGCACAGGTCTCCATGTGTATTGTACATTGCAGGGTTGCATTGTCTCCTGGCCGGACTGGGGCAGACACAGGCTGCTGAACAACACTCCTGCTTATTGATTCTGAGCCTACAAAAAAATATTTAATTATATTAATACCTGGTTTGCTGTATTGATACAGTACATATATACGGTATATCCATCCATTTTCTTATTGTGCCATTCAATTCTAACTTATTTGTTAAATGATATGAATATAAACAAATATTTATAATGTGACAATTCCAGTTAGCAAATTATTAAGTGCCACAATCTTTCATATAACAGAAATATCTGGCATGATTAATGCTGTATTTCGTCTTTAAAATATGCTATATACATTTTAAAAGTCTAGATGGGCTTACTGACATCCTTTCATTTCTAACTTTTCTTATGATCTAATGATGTCTGCATCTGTTTCTCTGAACCATCTGTGCTGATTTGCACTGCAGGTTTAAAGCTTAGAATTTAACCTTGGAGAGGAAAATTGTAGGCATTCATTTCAGACAGCATTGCAAGATGTTCAGCTATTTTCTCTTTATAAAAAAATGTACACATGTTGACTAATCTAACTGTCTAGTTATGATGGTAGACTAGTATTTAAGTAAGACCAGTATTAATATTAGGTAAGAATTTCCTAGAGGGTTGCAGAGAGAAGCAGGTTGACTCCCCCATAAGTTAAAAGGTGGGTTAATTTTCCATTATGATTAATAGTTAAAATTGGAGAAACACACTACAGCTCCCATCTTTTGAAGTTAGATTTACAGGGGAATCTTGAGAAGAAAAGCAAGTTTCAAACCATGTCTGGTTTGGAAGAGTTTTATATGAAGTTTGGTCTGGTGTTAGCCCATGTTTTCAGAATTCCTGGGATTTATTAATAAAAGTTAAACCAAATAGTTAACCTATAAAAGTTTTTTTTTGTTTTGTAGGTTTTCTAACCTCACACTTACTGATCAGGTAGACCTGCCACACCATCTCAATATTTTAAAGCACAGAGTACTGTACATTTGTATAAATTCCATTTAATATGAGCAATTTAGAGAAACCTGGATGGTTAATTGAACATACAGCATTTGTATTATTAAATTATATTGGTGCTGCACTATGAAATGAAAACATGGTTATAATGAAAAACCCATAATATTTAGAATAATTATTTGATGTTCACATGTATTTTTAGACCCATGTCATAATATACAGTGACACCTGTTATATACAGATGCAGCCATTCAAAATGGGTGAGGTATTTCGCGCCATACCCTGGTGGGCGTGTCGCGGTATCACGCGGTATCACTTGGTGTCACGTATCATTTGACGCTGTGCCGGAAACTATCCGGCGTCTCCTTGTAAAACCGCCAGGGGGAGCTTAACCTCTCATTTACAGCATTTGAGCCTTTAATTTTGAACTGTGTATTACAGCATGTTAATCATCAGTCATTAAAATGTTGGTATATTTTATGAAAGCAAGATTGCTCAGTTGGACAAAAGTACACAACCTACCTTTATCAGAAATATTTATGCATCA